TTTTATGTATATATTTTATATATTTAATTATACTTCTCAAAGACAATGTTCGAACCTTTTGTTAAAGATGGAGCTATAAATGTGGTACTTTTAAGCTATATTTCTCTTTTAGATTTTTTGAAGGCAGACAATAAAAAATTAATAAAGAAAACAAATTTTGTAAGCGAGGGGTTTTAAAGGATTACCGAGGCTCCATTTGTATATTTTGAATTTTTTTTTCTAGAATTTCTTACTAATAAATACTTGAGTATCAGATATACTTCCTGTATTGCAAAAGTATCAGGAACACATAAGAGGACGTATTGATTAAATTTTTTTCAAGGATTATAATTTTTTTCGATTATGAGAGCCGCTATCGTTAAATTCCTGGTTTTCAAATACACTTTTCACAATAATTATCGAAGCTACTATAGAATCTAGTATCGTGATAATTTAAACAATTTTTTTTTTTTAAATTACAATAGATTTTTAAAAAAAAAAAATATACTACGAAGGACGTTCGGATGTACAATCGTGGATGAAATCTAAAATAATTGATTTCCTTTTCTTAAAAAGAAGAGGACTAAGGGATATACAGCCGTTGAATAAAGAAGAAAATTGGAGAATATCAGGTCTACAATCGTGGATAAATAAAAAATATATCTGTCATATCTATAATCGGGAATTAACAAATATCAATTTTTAAGGACTGAGGGATCGACATCGTGGATTTACATAAAAAAGAAATGTTTTTCAAGGACTATTGTAAATCCGATAGTCCTCGATTTTTTTTTTAAATCTACGATGTCGATCCTTCAGTCCTTGAAAATAGGTATATTTTTTAATTCCCGATTATATATTCTTTCTCAATATGGATTCTTTGAAGATTTCCTTTTTCAGGAACTGGGTTTTCAAAACAAAAAAAAAAAAAAAAAAAAACAAAAATGTGCTTGAAAATTATGTTTTTACAGGACATGAGGTTCTGTAGTAAATTAAAATTAAAGTAAATTAAATGACATGAATTAAAAAAATATATATATTTTGAGGACAGCCGAATCGGCAAGCGTAGATTAAATATCGGATCCGATATCGCTAATTTTTTTTTAAAGAAATATTTCCTTGAAAAAATTCTTAACAATATTCCGGATATATAAAAAAAATTGTTATATTCATTTGATGCGAAATCATAAATTCCACATTCATCTCAGGTTTCTGGTTGAGAGAAATATTTATTTGTACAAAATCGCTGACTTTTTTCGAAAGTTGGGACGGATGAAAGTATTGAAAATTTCGACCCTTTGATCCTACAGATCTTCTTCACAACAGATCTAGTGTGAAATTTGAAGAGAGTTGGAAATTTATTTCGCTTTCTTTGAGCGTTTGGTTTTACAAAATCTTGAAGTCTATGAGGGCGAGGTACAGGAATAAAATAATCCATCTCTGCCATATTTATAACAGATCTTTTTGGTTAAGGAAATATTGAGATGTACCAAGTCTGAATGGAATCGGATGCTCATTTCGCGTTTCATGAGATTCATGGGTACTCAAAATTTTGACCTTTTGGGGGAGAGGTGACCAGAAGGAGTGGACCGATATATCCCATCTTCACATGAGGTCTTGTATCTGTAGAAATAATGGGATATGTCAAAAATTAAGAGAACCGGGTGCTTACTTGGAATTTTATGATCGCTTTGGGTATTTAAAACGTTAACCCTTTGTAGGGGAGGTACCAGAAGAAATGGTCCGATCTCTACCATCTTTAGATCTTGTGTTAATGGAAATATTCATTTATTCTATCTCTAAATGGAATCGTATGTTAATTTCCTGTCTTACGAACTTCATGGATATTCAACATTTTGACCTTTTGTGGGGAAAGTACCAGAAGGACTAGACCAATATATTCCATATTCATACCAGACCTTGGGTTAATACAAATAATATTGCAATGTGTGTAGTTTGAAGACAATCGTATTCTTATATCACATTTTATAAGAGTTATAATTATTCAAAATATTCACTCCTTGAGGGGGAGGTTCTTGATAGAGTTGGACCGATATTGTCCATTTTCGCACCTGACCTAGCAAAATCGGATTATCGTTTCACTTTCTGTGCAGTATTTTTTTTTATTTTATTTTTTGTTTTTTTTTTTTTTTTTTTTTTTTGAAAATGTTGACATTTTGTGGGGGAGGTACCCGAAGGAGTGGACCGATATTGCCAATATCCAAACTCGATTTTATAAGAGTTATAAGGGGGGAGGTTCTTGATAGGGAGGTGGACCGACATTGTCCATTTTCCCACCTGACCTAGCACTGATGCAAAACCTAGGATTGGCAAGGTTGGAGCAAAATCGGATTATCGTTTCAATTTCTGTGCATTTTTTTTTTTTTTTTTTTTGAAAATGTTGACCTTTTGTGTGTGAGGTACCAGAAGGAGTGGACCGATATTGCCCATCTCCGAACTCGATCTAAGTTTGATAATAGTATTACTATGTACCAAGTTTGGACCAAATCGGCTACTCGTTTCGAGAGTTGTTATGCACACCAGCCATACAGACCAACGAACGGACGGACACCTCTAGATTGACTCCAAATGTCCTGAAACGGCTTTGGTTTAAAGGAACCAAGGATCTAAAATCTTATTTCGATGAGCCTCGTTTTGACCGTAACAAATTATATATATTCTCTCTAGCCACATGGCTGAGGGAGGGTATATTGAAAATTTCTTTATGGACTATTAGAGCCACAGTTATGGATATGCGAGTAATTTTCTCAAGGACTGTGCATTTTTCAGAACATTCGTAGTCACCAAAAATTCGTATAATTGGGAAATTTTTTATAATGCTGTAATTTCCAGGTATATTCTTCACATAACCCTAGGTCCGAAGAGTATAAATTCTTTCCAACCCACACTAATGTCCGAGTGGGCCGATATTGTCCAGTTTCGCACCTGACCTAGCACTGATGCAAATTCTGGGATTTGCAAATTTGAAACAAAATGGGATTATCTTCCCTCTTTTTGTGCAGTAAAACATTTTTGTTTAAATGTTGACCTTTTGTGGCGGAGGTACAAATAGAATTGGACCAATATTGGCCATCTCCGAACTCAATCTCAGTTTGATAATAATATTACGATGCATACTCCCTTCGAGAATTATCGTGCGCACCAGCCAGACAGACGGACGGACGAACATCGCTAAATCGATTTCAAATTTCCTGAAACGGATTTTGTCCAATGAAACCTAGGGTCTAAACCCGTTATATCGATGAGGCAATTTTTGGGCGTTTCAAATTATATATACCCTCTCTAGCCAAATGGCTGAGTATATATGAAAAATTTCTTTATGGACTATTAGTGAATATTTTTTTTTCAAATATTATTAATTTTTCAGAATATTCGGACCTACCGAAACTGGAATTTTGCATAATGTTGTAATTTCCAGGTTTATTTCTTACATAACCCTAGGTCCGAAGAGTGTATATTCTTTCCAACCCTCACTAATGTCCACCCACCATTCGCTGAAAACTTACAAAAGAAAAATCTGAAAAACATTTTCATGTTTTTTCCTCACTGCCGAAAAAAATACTCCTTAAGTGAAAAGAAAAACACACAGACTAGCATACGTCATCGCCCATCAAAACTGTTGGAGGCGAACACACCCACTTTTCCCCCCCACACGATATACGTTTTTAATCTATTTTGAAATAAAAATATATATTTCAATGGAATCAAAATAGGTGAATTTTCTCACAACACACAAATGCACACACACATAAAGACAACAAGTAAAAAAGCTGTAAGTTCGGCCGGGCCGAACTTTTAATACCCTCCTCCATTTGGTACAAATTTGACAATTTCCAAAAAAAAAAAAAAAAAAAAAAAAAAAAAAAAACCGTTAAAAATTCTGTTAAAATCTTAAAAATACCGAATGCCTACACGACGACGTGGACCTGCATAGGCAACTTTTGTCATAAGTTATTACAATATTTTAATGCGAAACTTGAAGAAAAATCTGTTTATAATGTAGCTAAAATCATCAAAACACCAAATATAGGGGGGTGCCGTTATATAGGGGCTATACGAAGACGTGGACCTACACAGATTATTTTCTGTCTTAGGCTGTAGTATCCATTGCGAACTTCAAATACCAAATTTTGAACAATTCCGATTAATAATGTCGCTAATTTTCTGTCTTAGGCTGTAGTATCCATTACGAACTTCAAATGCCAAATTTGAAACAATTCCGGTGAATAATGTCGCTAAAAACATCAAAATACCGAATATCGGGAGGTACCGTTATATGGGGGCTATATGATATCTTAGACCTACATGGCCCATTTACGAACTTAACCTGCCTACTGGCAAAATATACATGTGTGCAGAATTTTAGCCTTCTATCTCAATTTGTTCGAAAGATAGCGTGATTACAACAGACAGACAGAAAGACGGGCAGACAGACAGACAGACACACAGACAGACAGACAGACAGACAGACAGACAGACAGACAGACAGACGGACATGGCTAAATCGTCTTAGAATTTTACGCTGATCAAAAATATATATACTTTGTTGGGTCTGACATGAGTATTTCGAGGAGTTACAAACGGAATGACAAAATTAATATACCCTCCATAGTATGGTGGAGGGTATAAAAATGAAAAATTTCGTACAACGAACTGATTCGCGGTCATATGGACGCTTTGTTCGCTCTGCTCCATCATAAGTTTCGGATGCCGATATTTTAGTTAGTTTTTCGTTTTGTCTAGCGGCGATGTTTTGTTTGTTTGGATGCGGCAGTGCTAGCTAATGAAAACTCTGTGAAAATTTGCAAAAAATCGGGGCATTAGAAAAAATCAATAAAAAAACGTAATTGTGGATTTTGTTTTCCAATGTTTATTTGCCTATGCCTATCAATTGAAGAAATAACTTTGAAACAATAATAAAAAAAATCGCATTAATTGTTGAAAAAAGTGCCAAGGAAAAAATGTACATAAAAATTTAAGTTTCACAAAATTTAATGAGGTATTCGTAATAAAAAAAAAAAACAAAAACGAAACAAATTAAAATTCACGAAACTCGCAAAAAGTGATTGAGTGTTTCCTTTAACGAACAAATTCCATTAGGAGCAACGGACAAAAAAAAAAAAGAAAAAACAACACAAAAAGAGGCTACCAATATTAAAAGGCCTTCAAGTCTAAAGACAGTTTGGGTGTGTGTGTATTTTCGTTTTGTGTATGTGTGTGTTGTTAATATTGCGTGTGCTAATATTTTCCACCAACTTCCAGCTTAGCTTGAACTTTAATTAAACCATCATCATCATCGTTTGTGCCGTTTACTGTCGCACTTCTGTGTTCTTTTGACATTGTCAAGTAGAAGTTTTCACCATCGTGTCTTCCGTAAATTGTTGAGACACACACACACGCACTACCACACTCCTACACAATTACACACACACACGTACTCAGATTTTCGTCGACAACTCATGCAACAATATGACTGATCCGAACCACCAACCGTATCAGCCGTTGGTTTCCGTTATTGCGGAACGTTCAGGCACTGCTTCAACACCTCCTGTACGGCAGCAAATGTCAGGTATGCTAAACGCTTTTGATTCTTGTTAATGAAGTTGTTATTATTAATTTAGGTTGTGATATGTTTGTGAGTAGGTGTGTGTGAGAAAATTTGTTGGCTTGTTTGGAAGTTAGTTGTTGTTAGAAGATGGATTAGCTAGTGAAGTTTGGAAAAAGGTTCAAGCTTTGTAGGAGGTATTTTAAAATGTACGTGGCGTTCAGAGCCCTGTCCACGATTAGTGCTTTCAAAAGTCAACGATCCCTTGAAAAGCATACCATTGGCCCTTTAAAAAGTCCATCATTAGTCCTTTAAGGGTTCCACAATTGCTTAAAATGTCCGAAATTGGTCCTATAAAAAATCCACGATTAGTTAACAAGCCTAGAATTTGACCCTTAGAGAGTCCGCAATAGGTTCATAAGAAAGCTCACGATAAGTCCTTTAAAAAATCCACGATTGGACCCTTAAAAAGTCGCAATTCGGTCCAAATTTCATCCATTTTGGGCAAATATTAGACGTTTGGAGCACAACCAAAGGTAAATCGGACGAAGTTATATATGGGAGCTATATCCAAATCTGAACCGATCTCGATAACATTTAACATATGTATTTCTGAGCTGTATTTGATATATTTCCCCAAATATTGTTGTTACAGAGTGCATATTACGGCAGCTGAGGACAAAAATAACAAATCGGATGAACAATATATATGGGAACTATAGCTATATCTGAACCGATTTCGATCAAATGTGGCATACTTATTTTCAGGTCCAATCTGATCGTACGTGCAAAATTCCATACTATTCGGACTTATATTACACGTTTGGTGCACAATAAAAGGCAAATCGGACGGAGATATATATGGGAGCTATATCTAAATTTTGACCGGTTATCTCCAATTTCAATAGGGTTCGTCCTTGGGACAAACAAATGATTTGTGCAAAATTTCATCTAGATCGGGCAATAAATGCGAACTGTACTTGTACAAAATACATGGACAGACAGACGGACATGCATAAATCGACTCAGAATGTGATTCTATGCAGATCATCAAAAGGAACTAATCCTTTCAGTCATCGTTTTCTTTATTAAAATGTCCGCGATCGACCCTTTTGCAATTATAGGATTGGTCCCTTAAAATCCACGATTGGTTAACTAGACTCCAATTGTCTCTTTAAAAAGTCCAAGATTGGTCCTTCAGAAAGTCCACGATATGTCTCCTAAAAGATGTTCGATTTATTCTTTAAAGTCAACTTTTTGTCCCATGTTAAGGTCACTATATGTTCTTAAAAAGTGGATGATTGATCATTTAAAAGTCTACCAAATTAGGGATTTAGCTCTGGTTGAGGTTCTTTTAAAATTCACGTTATGATCTCTGATTGTAATTTTTTATACCCTCAACCGTATGGCTAGAGAGGATATCCAGGGTGAGAGGAAAAAACTGCAACAAACTTCAGACTGCTGTCATTTCTAAGCCACTCGTCCGACAGCTGTTAAAATTATTCCAGTGACAGCTCATTATATTGTTTACAAGCGTACAGAAACATTTTGATGAGAATTTTCCAGAAAAAATGTAATTCGTGATGGAATTCAAGCGTGATAGGGTGATTTCTTTATATTTGGCTGGAAAACCACAAGTGGCTATCGTTAGAGCACTCCAGCATTTAAATGTGAATAAATCTTTTGTGTCTCGTACCATCGCTCGTTACCGTGATATGGCTGGTAGCGTAGCCCGACGTCAAGCAAGTGAGCAGAAGAAAACAGCAATATCAGCACAAATAGTTCGAAAAATAAAGAAGCGATTGATCGAGACCCGCGTGACAGTGGCCGAAAAATGACTCGTGAGCTGAACATATCGCAATATTCCGTTCGGAAAATATTCAAAAATGAGCTCGGGGTAAAGCCATTGAGAATCCAAGAAGTGCAAGAACTTACACCGATGAAAAAGAATTCGTTGCTCAGCAGTTTATAAACAAACAAAATGATCGTGTTTACTTGCGAAAGAGGTCAGCTGAAAATGTGGACCTTCGGCTGGCCACCAGAACTCAAGAGACGGCCATGGTGATAGTGTGGGCCGCCATAACAGCCGATGGTCGCTCCCCGTATTAATCGACCGTGGCATCAGAATAAATGCCAAAAGGTGAACAATTCGAAAAAATTATAAATTCTTATTCTAAAAGTTGATGCTATTTCCGACATTTTTGCTTTCATTCACAAAATTTTAAAAACTAGTAAAAAAGCAATAAGTTCGGCCGGGCTGAACTTTTAACAGCCTCCACCATTTGGAACGAATTAGAAAATGTTCAAAAAATAAAATCTATTAAAAATTCTGTTAAAATTCTCAAAATACCTAATATCGGAAGGTGCCGAATTATAAATTCTTATTCTAAATTTTGATGCTATTTTCGACTTTTTTGCTTTCATTCAAAAAAAAAAAATTAAAACAAGAAAAAAAGCATTAATTTCGGTCGGACTGAACTTTTAATAGCCTCCACCATTTGGAACGAATTAGAAAATGTTCAAAAAAATAAAATCCATTAAAAATTCTGTTAAAATCCTTAAAATATCTAATATCGGAAGGTGCCGATATATGGGGGGATATTCGTTATTGTGGACCTATATAGACAAATCTATGTCTGGGGGTAAAGTATTCACAAGGAACTTCGTGCGGGGATTATCAAACAATTCCGTTGAAAAATATGGCTAAAATCATAAAAATATCGAATATCGGGAGGGTACTGTTATATGGGGGATATACGACATCGTAGACCTATATAGACAATTCCCTTTCAGTCACAAGGGACTCCTTGTGTGGAATTTCACGCCATTCCATTGGAAAATGTGGCTAAAATCATCAAAATACCAAATATCTTGGGGTACCGTTATATGGGGGACCTATGTAGACAATTCTCTCTCAGGAGGTAAAGTACTCACAAGGGACTCCTTCTGTGGAATTTCAGACAATTCCATTGAAAAATGTTGCTAACACCATCGAAATACCAAATATCGGGGGTACCGTTATATAGAGGCTATACGATATCGTGGACCGATATAGCCCATCTTTGAACTTGACCTGCCTGCAGACAAAAGAGAGATCTGTGCAAAATTTTAGCTTCCTATCTTAATTCGTTTAGACTTTAGCGTGATTCCAACAGACGGTCAGACGGACAGAGCTAAATTTCCTTAGAATTTTACGCTGATTAAGAATATGGAGAATTTTGTTGGGTCTAAAATTATTATTTCGATGAGTTACAAACGGAATGACGAATTTAATATACCCTCTATACTATGTATGATGGAGGGTATAAAAAATTTAAAAATTATGGCGATTTTTTATCTCACCTTGTACCAGATATACAATGCAATGTTTGCGACTTTTGCGGTCCTTCAAAAAATCTCTAGTGATTATTCGAAAAAGTCGATCTGTTAAAAAAATGTTTGATTAAAGCTCTGGAGGATGTACTTCAAGAATCAATAACTATGTCACTTGTAAAGGTCTTTAAAAATCCACGATTTTAGCTCTGCCGATCCCTTAAATGAAAAAAACGTGGAACTTCATTTCCAAAAATTTTTTAAGGATTTTATGTTTAAAGATCGTTGTTTTTTGGAACAAAAATATCTCAAGTAGATCCTGAATAGATATCGTAAATTTTTAAGATCTTCTGGTTGCAAATTGAGGCATGTTAAAAAATCGCGGATTTTTTTGGTATACATTTTTCTAAAGCCTTCATACTCAAAAAACAGAAAATACATAGTCCCCTTTAAAGATTTCCCAAAAAACAGTAGATTATTTATTAATAATATTATTTGAAGCAATAGCACACATGTAAATAATGGTACTAGGCTGAGGAGGAACATATATTTCGGCAAAGATATTGATTATCTCCTTTTTCTTCTAGTTTAGTTTATTAATAAGGCAGTAAAGTTGTATAAAAATAATAACGAACTCTGCTCTTCAATTGTATATTTTCATTCATTCATTAATTGGCGAAAATTCTGGTGAAAAATTTACGTCAGCTACTTAAAATCATTATTGAGTGAATTGATTGATCTCAATAAACAGTTAATAAGCTTCTACAATATAATTAAAATACCTTGAAATTTATTTGAGGAACCTTAATGACCACATCGGCGGCATCATTAAGAAAAATGAAGGCAACCAATAAAAATCTCCTAACAATTGAAAGAAATAAAAATATTTGTGTTCGTTTCCAGAGAAATCAATTTTGAAGAATATATATTATTTAAATGTGTTGTGGAATTGTATATTGTAGGCAACTCTCATTTATCTTCATCTGGGGGAAAAACAGACAACTGAAATACATCACATAAATCTGGGAGAGATGAATTCGTATTGTTTGCAAATAAATAAATAATACTTATACAAATGCAATAATATTTAAGTTTCAATTGCTATTAGTATTATGTTTTTCTTGAATTTTACCAAGCGAGTACGTCAACAAAAGCGTATTGTAGTGTTGCAATGTGGATTGTTCTATGAGTTCGATTTATGCAATTGCTTAATCGACACAAATGAAAAAACAACGTATAAATAGATTTAAAACAAATTTCTATGAAACACTTCTTTCTATACAACTTCTAATAATACCGAAGTGCAACTTAGCATTGGAGTTTGAATACCTTCCACCATTTGGGACGAATTAGTAAATTTTCAAAAAAAATTAAATCCATTAACAATTCTGTTAAATGTTGAAAATATCGAATATCGGAAATTGCCGATATATGGGGATATACGATATTGTGGACCTATATAGACAATTCTATTTCAGGGGGTAAAATACCCACTCCTTGTGTAGAATTTCAGACAATTCCATTGAATAATCTGGCTAAAATTGTCAACATACCGAATATCGGGGGTACCGTATGGGGTACCAAAACATGGACCTATACATACAAAGACTCGCCACACGAGCTAGAACACATTAAATACAACAAATACCAATTTTTAAACAAATTTGTGGAAAATGTGGCAAAAATCCTCAAAATACCGAATATCAGGGGGT